ATGGTTTTGCGAGGGTTGTCAATTTCAACTGTTACCCTAAAAAACGTGCACTATTTATTTTATTATACTGAATGTCTTATTGATTTCGGATGTCATAAAAAAATTCGGAGATCGTCGTTAAGTTCACGCTTAGAAAGCTTTCAAACTCCCCGCTTCTATTTTTCTCAATAAGAAAGCTTCGGAAAAGATTTACCAACCTCTTTATTGTTTGTTTGCTACTCAAAAAGTCCTTTATCATCTAAAGTTTGCACTCGCAAGGATGTTTCGTTTGTCGTTTGTTGTTTTCAAGTAAGCTACATCGGACGCAAGCTTTAATTGACGTCGTTCATTTGGCTTCTTTTAAACGTACAACCGACGTTTTGAGAATTTTACGGTGAACCGTACGCGCATGATTTGAACGCATGTGGTTGCACAACAGTATTAAATTTTGCTATATATTCTTACCAAAAATGCGCAACTTTGAGTAGGTAGTATTAATTGAAAACAAACTTTTGAGAAGTTTCCTTTTCAGATCTTGTAAAACAATTCCTTATAAAGATTTTAGTACCAAAAAATACATAGCATCCAGCAAGGCACGCAAGTTTGTCTCGCTCGAAGTCGAGCAAGTGCTTCAAAATCAAGTCCAGGACCTAATCACTCCCCACTCAAATACAGTATATAGAAAATTCAGCACGCCCTAAATTTTAATGAATCTAGTCAATATAGGAAGTTTACATATTGTTTTTCATCTCATAAAAAAATTCAGCTCCAGTCTCGTGTTAAAATGCCCGAATCGGAAGGGAAGATTCAGGAATTATTTTGTGTCAGCCATGATTTGACGTGAACCTCAAGTGAAATACTGTTATGACACCTGCATGATATTTTCGTGATGTTACCCGTTGTCAAGTATGTTGCTAACGCTGAGGGTAACATTACGGATTGTTAAATGCTTCTAAACCAATCAGATTTTAGTATTTAACATGAAAGTATAATAATATATAATATTATACAAATGAATATATATTTAATAATAATAATAAAAAAAATAAGTATTAATTCTATACTGAGTTTTGTGTCATTTTCTCTATATATATGTACAGATTCAATTCATTATAACAAATTTTTGAATTCGTTATAACAAAATACAACAAATTTGTTATAACAGATTGAATTCGTTATAACTAATCCAAAGAAATTGTTATAACGAATGAAATTCGTTATAACAAATTCGACAATTCGTTATATCAAATTCAAAAATATTTTTGATAGGTCCTAAATGGGCCTCTATTACGGAAGCCCATTTAGGACCTATCGAAAAATATTTTTGAATTCGATATAACGAATTGTCGAATTTGTTATAACGAATTTAATTCGGTATAACAATTTCTTTGAATTCATTATAACGAATATAATCTGTTATAATAAATTTATTGAATTTGTTATAACGAATTCAAAAATTTGTTTTAACGAATTAAATTCGTTTCAACGAATTCTAAAATATGTAATAACAAATTAAATTTGTTTTAACAATTCTAAAATTTGTTATAACGAATTATTAAATTCGTTTAATCAAATTCAACAATCGGGGCCTATAAAAAAAATATATATGAATTCGATATATCGATTTGTCGAATTCGTTTGAACGAATTTAATTCGTTATGGCAAGTTTTAGAATTTGTTATAACAAATTTGATTTGTTATAACAAATTTTTGAATTCGTTATCACAAATTCATTAAATTTGTTATAATAGATTGAGTTCGTTATGACGAATTCAAAGAAATTGTTATAACGAATTAAATTCGTTATAATAACAAATTCGACAATTCGTTATATCGAATTCAAAAATATTTTTTGATAGGTCCTAAATGGGCTTCCGTAGAAAAGTCCTTACTCGTTCAAATTAAGAATTGTTACATTGCTTCATATTCCAAATAGTGACTTAATATTTTGTTTCCTTGAAAAGAAAACAGTTTCAGAAGATAGGTAGTCATCATTGAAAATGACAAAAAAAGATTAGGTCGTAGAACGTCACGGAGCAGCAGTTAACCATACAGATTTGTGCTGTACTCCGGAAAACTCCAGACAAAAAACTCTTAAAATGCTGGAGAAAGTAGGAAATATGTCAAAAGTGAGATATGCATGTGTTGTTTACAAGGTGCAGCGGTATCTGAATAATAGAGACTCTGTATAAGACGATGGTGATCTGTGAGAAACCGGGTTATCTGTAAAATTCTAATCAAAAACATTGAAAAGTACAAGAAACGTCATGCTAAGAGTTGGGCACTTCACAGTTGCTGATCTTGTGAAAGCACAGATACGCAGTGAAAAAAATATAACATTGACAAACAAAAGGATGTTACTGGAACAATTGTCAGCAAAAGAGATTTCAAGTGATATATAGAGAAATATTTTTAAATGAGTGTACTGGTATTGGGCAGTACTGTGTGAAATGTATAGGGAGAGTATTTTTGAGAACCTCATGACGGTACATGTATGTGTTTGTCGTTCTAGTGTTGGTGAGTTTGCTCCATGAATACAATACGTGTTGATTTTAAAATTAAATAACATGCCTTCTATTAAATCACATGGAATGAAATTTCCCTCATCAACAAAATGGATATTTTTGAAACTGATAATGTGCTCATTTTGAATTTCTTGAAGATAGTATGACGAAGATTGGCATAGTCCACGAACTTTCCGAACAACCCTCGTATTTTATGTGATGCCACTTTATTCAAATTTGAGTAATGACCAGGGGTCATTTTTTAACGTCGAATAATGAAAGGTAGTCACATTTAGACGTCGAAAAATGGCCCGGTAATTATCCTACGGGGGTCATTTTTCGTCTTTACACCTGCCAAGGAAGGTGAACAACTATCTACATGCAATATCAGCATATTTAGTAGTTGTTAAATATTTTTTCATATTTCCGTGTACAAAAAAAAAAAAAAAAAAAAAAAAAGAAGAAGAAGGAAAGCACATTGTTTTTCTCTTGAAACAAAACATGAATAAGTAATTATTCACAGATATGTTCACGTTTTAACTCTAAATGGGGGACTTTATTTGACTTCTTTCAGAAATATATAAAAAAAAAAACATAAATATCAAGTGAAGCAAGAAATTAAGATACCATAACAGGGAAAAGCAAATCTTAACACACATTTTCAACGCAATGCATACATATTCCAATTTTCCTAGTTGAAAATTCTATCATTTTCAGACACTTTCCTTTCAAGAATTTTGATAAACATTGATAAAACTTTGTTGGCGTGGGGGGAGTAATTTATGACTGTAGAAGCCTTCCACAATTTAGCAATAGGTCAACAAAATTAGATCATCAACAGGCTTGCAAAAGGGGCGAGGATTTAAAAACACGATAATACTTGAAAGTGTCATATCTGAATACAGTACGACACTCCAGATAAATTTACAACTCCTTTCAATACATGTATCCGAGTTCCTTAATACTTGAAAGGGATATTTTATTATGTATATAATAATTTCGTGACTAGACCGAGAGACTAAATGATTTTGCTGAAAATAAGATTTCTTTTGTGATCGATATTTACAACACTCAATGAAATGTCCTGGGTTACGCCGATCGACCCCTCTTTGTAATGCACGGTATGTGTTTAATGAATCTACCATATATAGTAAGTTTTTAACACTATGATTTTGGGACTTTAATGCCCTGTTCACACGGAGAGTTTAATTCGAATTAAACGTAAGTTACTGCGAATTAAATTTGATCCGCGTTCACACGGAGAATTTAATGCGAATTAGTTTAATTCGAATTAGTTTACTGCGCATTAAATTACTTCGCATTAGCTCCGTGTGAACGCTAAGCGAAGCTAATTCGAATTAAATTTTGACGCATGCATAAGGGCAGAATTAAGTCACAGGCCACATGTTGATGGTCAAATATAGGTACTTGTGTTATTTTTGAGTGGAAAACAGAGGAAAATTATGTAAATCACTAAAATGTACACAGACACTATGACATTATGTCAAATGTATATCTGCTCTGTACAATATGACGTGATTTGTAAATGACGTCATAATAGCCTCACTGAATAGTCTTGTTGTAGAAATAAAATTATAATTCGCATTAGTTTACTTCGCATTAGCTGTCGTGTGAACGCAATTTATGCCCTGTTCACACAGAGAGTTCAATTCGAATTAAACGTTAGTTACTGCGAATTAAATTTGATCCGCGATCACACGGAGAATTTGATGCGAATTAGTTTAATTCGAATTAGTTTACTGCGCATTAAATTACTTCGCATTAGCTCCGTGTGAACGCTAAGAGAAGCTAATTCGAATTAAATTTTGACGCAAGCGTAATGACAGATTAAAGTTACATGCCATATGTCGGTGGTCAGATATAAGTATTTATGCTATTTTTTAGTGAAAAACAAAGGAAGATTATGTCAATCATTGAAATGTGTGCAGACAATGTCAAATGGATCTGCTCCACATAAGGTGACGTGATTTGAAAATGACGTCATATAATAGCCTCGAGCTCACTAAATAGCCCTACGGTATGAATAAAATTTTAATTAGCATTAGTTTACTTCGCATTAGCTGTCGTGTGAACGCAATTTAATTCGCATTAGTTTGATTCGCATTAGTTTACTTCGCATTAATTTACTGCGAATTAAACTCTCCATGTGAACAGGGCATAAGAAAATTACATATAAAGATGTATTCATTGAATTTTTGTGTTCATTTTTAGCATAGAGTACCTGTCAGAAATTGTTTTAAATTGGGAAAATACATGTTGATACATGTAATAAATTCATTTACATCTTATTGATTAAATATAATGTATAGTTAAGAATAATTTTATTTAATCAGTACAGATTGTGTCATTCATATTCCGTTCCATCTTACCATGGATTTAGAACTCTTCAGTGAGTATGCGCAGTGTTTAGAGCTTCCTTAATAGGTTCTATTTTATAAAAAAAAAAAATGTATAAATTTTGCAATTTAAGAAAAAAAAATTTAATATATTTTCATCAATAAGTTAAAGCGTCACTATACAAAAGTATAAGACATTAGTATAGTATTGGTATCCATAAAAGTAAATTAATTTTCACCCACATAATTGTTTTTTTTTTTTGATATTTTTTTCAGCTTATGATACATAAAGAATTTAACGATTTTTTGAAAAGAAGCTTGATTGAAAAATGTTCTATGGTTTAAAATGTATAAATAAGTTCCCACAAGCTTCGCAAACAGGAATAAGCCAGCAATTTACACACATGGCGTAAATCTTCTGACAAGACACGCAGTTAATTTCCAAGGTTCGTAAGATCGGTGTCTGGAACCAAATGTGCCAGAATGCCACAAAGGCAAACTCAGACCCCCAGTATGATGCAATACAGAGGCCACAGGTCAAGGTCAGCATCTTGTAGAGACAGCTTCTCCAGAACAGGAAGCAGATATTCGTACACCACCAGACGCCATCTATACTTCGTATACCGTCAGGCTCGGCAAGTATATCCTCAAATGCCACCTTATAAGAGACACATTTTAAGAAATATTATGAGAGAGACATTTTTAGAATTATTATAAAAGAGACATTTTTTAGGATTATCATAACATATAAGTATTAGTACAAATATCTTTTCTGCTTGAACTTTCAGTAAGGCATGACATTCCAAGCCCGTAGGAAGCAATTTCAGTTTGGGGCACAACCATATATTTTCAGTTTAGGGGGCACTATGGCACTATCAACTACCCAAAATTCCTTGACAAGCATAAAAAAAAGGTCATCAGATGTTTTAATTGAGGGGCACAGGTGTATAGTAGCTATGTTTTCTATAGTAATCTATATATCGGCAAAATTAACACCCCCTCCTCCCCCCGGTTCCTACGGCCATGCATTCTCGGCTATACATAACTAGCGTCTCTCAAATAGTGACCTAGATTCTCATTGGTTGCCAGATTAGCTCATCAATACTGAGATTTACACAGCTTTTCATTCACGGGTGAAATACACATGGGATAAAATGGTTCAGACGTCAACGAGTGACGCAAGGAACCAATTACATCGTTTTTTACAGTAAAATGGTGTGGCTTATGTCATCTCATTGTTTGTTAACAACAATCTAAAGTTGCTAATGTTATTAATTTCTTAACCAATGAGAATCTAGGTCAGTATTGAGAGACGCTAATTATGTATCGCCGAGACTGTCACGCCTTACTGAAAGTTCAAGCAGAAAAGAGATTTGTACTAGTATTATTATAGTATAAACGCTCCGAAATTCTGAGAGTCGCTAGCACAGCGTCCATCAAAATATTTGCCTTTTCCATATCACATCCTGTATCAGCCCTCGACCAACATCAGCCCTCGGACCTTCGACCCAAGACTGATATTGCTGTCTCGGGCTGATACAGGGTGTGATTTGGAAAAAGTTAAGCTTTATTGTATTTATTACATACTTAGTAATACATGTAACACACAGCACACATCTATTTGAGCAAAAAGAAATACATGTAATCTCCGACTACATGTAACTAATTGTATGATTCCAGTGCTTTATTTAATTTTTTTTTTACAGAGAATGTGAACGAAAAATATGTGTATTATCATGAACAATGTTTTTTAAAAGGATAAATCAATAATGGGTGTGATATAATCCGTATCAGTCATGTATATCCATATCAGCTTTACAGGATCCGCCAGGATTGCCTGTTTGTTCTTCATTGATGAAAATTATAAATGATTCTTGATAAACTAAAATACCGTAAATAAACCCCCATTCTCTGTAATCTGATTCAGTTCTCTGTGAACTTTGTAACATTGTAATTTATTTTTTAAGCTTCCCCTGGATCAAATATTTCATTTATTCTCTGTTGACGAAGAAACACAACTTATCATTTCAACCGTATAATTATAGAAAACGCCGACCAAAAAATCTATCAAAATCCAACAATAGTATACCTAATTTCAAACAAAGACCTCATGATATTCTTTGTCACTATTTTCGGAAAATTAGTGTCAAGTTCTAAATTTTCAAGTCTGAATTAGATCTAATTAAATCTAATAACAGCTTCAGACTTACCTTAATGTGTCTATTAATTTCATTAGGATCTCTGTTTATGAAGTCTAGTTTAGATGTGTCCATGCTTTGAATATTGCGGTTTAATTCTTATCTACAGATTTTGTTTTCCTATATATGACCAGGAAGAATCTTTACAACAGTTACTGTGGACGAATGCTTAACAAATTATGCCTAGTTTGTTTACCAAGAAGTCGTTAACACGGCTTCTCGTGAATACTTGAAATCCACAGTCATGGATATGTATTCCATAAATCTTTAAACTTTTCAAGTTTCACGATAATATTTCACATTCATGTTTCTGCAATAAAATTTGATTCAGTTTGTTGTTAACATGTTGTTTTATATACATACTTCTTAATAGATAGGGTTTTTTTGCATGTGCGATATGCTGATGACACAATAGCCGTATTTGCTTTCAGGGCTTAGATCTATACAGATCCTGCAGGACTAATATTGATCTACAGGGCTGATACATATAGAATATCACACTGCTGTTTTGATCTCGGTCCTGCTTTCAGCTCGAGCCGTTGATATCGGCCTATAACCGGCGTAGGCCGAGACCATCCGAGGGCAGTTGTCTATATCAAACACATGTATATCTAAAACCAAAGGCAATGAAAGAACAATAATAAAGTTTTTTTTTTCATTAATAAAATTTTGTCGAAAGACAAAATTAGCACTCCTGGATTAGGCCGATACCAACCTCTCGGGCTGATACCAGGGCCAAAATCAAAACAGCAGTATGATATTCTCTATATATCACACCCCTTGTAGATTAAACCTATAAATAACAGTACTTGTGTACTCGTGATAATACATCTATTTTTTTCGATCCCATTACTGTTCTTTCATATACATGAGATAAGCTAATTAGTAAATTAATATTTGTATTTGCTCAAGTAGATCTGTGCCGTATTTTATTACTATGTACATGTATGTAATACACATAATAAAACATACCCTTTTCCATATTACATCTTATATCAGCCCTTGGGCCTTCAACCCTCTGGCTGATATTGGTTTTTGAGATGATACAGGGTGTGATTTGGGTTGCATTTTTGAGCCAAAGGCTCATGTGTGTTCTCTAATCAAAGTTTGTCTCTCGCCAATGTGTTGGTGTGTTTATCTGTTAACTTTTCAACTTTTATTCATTTTCTTCTGTACCACTGGATCAGCTTTTAAACAAACTTGGCACAAAGCATCCTTAGATGATGAAGGTTCAATTTTTTGTTTCACATAAAGATACATGTCCTTTGCTAATCTCAGCGAGATTCGTCGAGACTAAAAATTTTGGACAGACGTCTCTTACGAATCTCAGACCAGTGCCACACAAAGTGACTAGGGAAATCTTGCCCGGACGTCGACCGCTTGTTTCGATCAATACGGACTGAAATGAATTCCCTACTCGCTTCAACTTTTTGCTTTGGACATCCTTTTAACTCCCTATCACTATAAAACTTTTGTTTCATACCTTTTAAAGGTTTTAATACAACCAAAATCAAGTTGTTGATTTTTTCATAGCACTGACATATTCGTTCAAACCCCCAACGCCGAAGAGTTCCAGCAATAGTCTTTTTTCAAATACTTCGTTCTACTATGATTTCCTATAGAAATGAACCATAGTACGAAGTATTTGAAACAGACTGTTGCTGGAACTCTTCAGCGTTTTTAGGATAGAAGTTACAAACCCGCCATTATGTTTGAATGTCAGTGTTGAAAGTGAAACATTCAAGCATTCAATTTTTTAAATACTTCATGCAGAAAACAAGGTAGGTCAATGCATTGATGTGTAACGTGATTTATGAACAACATTATGATATTTATTTATTTATACAGAACAACTGAGAATGAATAAGTAGACTTCTGCTTACAATTGGACAGCATTGTTTGTGCTGTATATTTATAGTAATAAATAATCAGAGAAATGTTCGTTACAGATGGTAACGAACATTTCACTTTCCGTATCATATCGTTTTGAAGTATTTTTATTTTTAAATTTCTTTATCACGCTGTGAAGTTAATTGGATTAGAAACAATGTACCACATGTTTGATAAGCTACTGAATTTTTGATCCATTTATATATTTAAAACAAAAACAATACGTTTGAACACAGTGTTTTAAAAATATCATAAATATTGTTTTTGGATATTATTCTTGACCTATTGAAATTTTGACAAAATTATTGAATTATATCGATATGCCACCATAAATTATGGAGAAAATCAACTTACACAAAACACTATCCTAGGTTTGTTTTTGAACATATTTTATTGACAATCAAAAGGATCAGAAACAAGTTCTATCAACTTACTACATGTAGTTCTTCTCCTTAATAAAACACATCACATAATAATTGTCTTGCAAAATAATAACAAAAACGTATACAAATAAAATAGTCAATAATATAAAATTATCTATCTAAACCTACAGGATTCATTTATGAATTTATGAACAGCGGTAAAAATGCCAGTTTAACTCTAATGAAAGGTTTGCAGTTAATAAGCTGAAAATCACATGCAACTTATCATCTTAAGCTTGCATGTTGACATAAATATCTTGCATGTTAAAATATAACTCACATGTTGACATTGTGCTCCTTTATTAGGCATTATTTTTCAATTCTTATGAAGCAGAATTTATTAAAATTATATCGATCTGAGAAGAAAAAAACTCTTGCTTATGCCCTTAATCGACATGTATATACATTGGCGACGTTTTACATATGAACAATGCTTATTATTCCCTCGAAACGGAGTTGGAGGGGATATACATGTAGTTACGCGCTTGTGTATGTGGGTGGGTGTGTGTAACGGAAGTGACGTAATTTACATCGGGATTTACGTCGAATGCTGCCTTGATTTATAGATACGCTCTTTTGCGAGGAGATGCTTCGCTGTGCTGTGTCCTTGTTACTTATGTGTCTCCCCACGTTTCTCCGGTTTAAATTTACATGATGGTGCCAAGGGAAAAAAGATAAATTTCCGATTTTGGAATATTTTTGAAATAGAAGTTTTTAACTCTCCTTTCATCTCCAATATTACACCTTTTGGATAAATGGAAGAAGGTCAGACCGAGTTGGCACATGCTATTGCCTGCAATAGTAAAGTTCCCAATTGTATATCCTATTGAATATATCGTCCACAGCAAATTGACATATGTTTTGATTTCATATAAAAGTCGATTCATACAGGGAGGGAACTTTAAGCAAACTTGCTTGTATTTTGTTAAAACTTTACACATGCAACTACGACGCTAATGTAACTGTTTTCTGTTTTTGTGTGAGAATTATCATTAAAATCTTATTCAGTTTCACAAAGGAAATGAAAAGATTAATATCAAAATTATAATACAAGCTAGATTAATTCACAGATCTGGATCTTTTAAACAAGGAAATTACTAAGTTCTTCCGCATCTCAAGTTTGAAAGGTCCGCCTTCCTAGACAAAGAACTGTAAGTAATATTGTTCATCATCTAACACAAAAAATTGATGTAAATTACTTATTGCTCGTATTCATTTTTTTTTTAATTTTTTTTTAATATTTATTACAGGTACAGGCGCTGGCACCATGACAGACACTCAACAGTTACTACGTGGCGTGCTTGTTGACCCAAATGACCGTGACCCCGATAAACAGTATGATTACGTAAAGGTAAGTTAACCTTCTTTTATTGACTTTAGACATAAACAAACATACAGACATGTACACAGACACAGACACACCACGGCTGGAAGGCTTAAATATAGATTTATAGAAATATACAAGAAATACAAAGAAAAAAAAATATGAATACACAAAACTGTACCTTTACAATGTAACTTTAAAACCATATGTGACTTTTTCCCTCCTAATACAGTTATTGTTTTTAAAACACAGATTGATTGAACATTGTTGAAATAAAATTGGTGAGGAGCGAGGGGCCAAGGGAGGGGATAACGGAAAATTTAAAAAGCGGAGCAAAAAAGTACATGAAATCAAAACAAAGAAACAGATACAGGCCCATGGCAATGGTTTCAATCAAATGGGGGGGGGGGGGCAAAAAAAAAACAATTAACTGCAAAAAACTAATTAACTATCCAAATTCTGGAATTTGCCAGTGCTCGACCTTACAGCGACAAAAAGTCGGGAGGGGGAGAGGGGAGTCAACATCTACTGGAAAAAATATTATAGCAAAATACTATACTCAGAAAAAGTGCCTTTCCCCCTTGCGTTCTACGTTGGTGACGTTCTACGTCAAAAATACTGAACTGATTAGATGAAGAAAAGTATTAAAAGTCATTTACTTACATGTTCTTAATTCATGCAATGTAAATCCGCCAATAAAAATGATTTTGTCTTATATTGAGAATGTTAATGCTTACAAAACTGAAGTAATGTGTACATTAAAAATGTTTGACAAGCATTTTTTAATTTTTTGGTAGGAATATGTAGATTTTGATGGCATGTTTGCCGAGCCAGCAGAAATGCAGTCTTGTGACATCATATGGGCATGTTCGAAACTAATGTTTACTCGTGGGCTGCAAGCCTACGGTAACTACAGGTGTTTTTTCTGCTGTATATCGGCGTTTTGGGGAACAGCGTTTGCAATTTCATCTTATTGTGAGAATTTCTGGTACCGACCTACAAAGAGATTTTGGGAGCTAAAGAAAAGGACACCCACGATAACCAAATCTTTCGGCTATTGGGTAAGTTGTGCCATAACTCTATTGAGTGCTTGTTTCGATTGCAGCGATGGAAATGAAGAGAATACAAAGAAGAAAAGAGATTCTGAGATAAAAACTGTGTAAACAACAAATTGTTCAAACCATAAATCAATAGTCTAAAGTCTGAAAAAAGACAAAGTAGTGTTTATGTGAAATATATTGATTGTGTAATTGTATTCCATGGATAATTTGTTTTTGTTAAAATCAATGTGCTCGGTAACTGTACAGTCACATAGCTGCACATGCACACTAGCAATTACGCATGGGCAGAGATTAAATAAAGAAATATAAAACTATAAGGTTTTCACTCGAACTTTTATCATTTCATTAGTTAAACATGTTAAATGTTTTAAGATTATCCTTGATACAGATAAATTTCGCTTAAGTAGTCTGATTAATAGCAGACGGATATCAAATCACGTGACTATATGGGAGGCTCCTGTGATTCATATTTGATTAGATCGTTCATCGATAATGGATGAAATTATAATAAGCTCATGTTCGTTTGCAATATCAAAGCAATTGAAGTTTTTCTAAATTCTATAACACCGATATTGTACCAGGGGTTTAACGAGGCCGAGTCTAATTCGAGTGCGCATGACTTTGCGCAGCTTTTTAATTTCATGCAGTCATATTTGCCACATTACACCTTTTCCAAATATTGTGATTTTAATACAAAATTAACATTATCTGTAACTCCTATAGGTCTGAAATCATGCTTTTACGACAATAATTAGGGGAAAAAAACCCTGAAATGGCTCTTACGACGTCAGTATTTTCCGATTTTGTAGGCAACATTACGCTGAAGAATGCCACATGACTCGCTTGTATATTCAAGACGTCCATGGATATTTTACTAAAAACTGTTGACAGAACATCAAAAGAAACATGCTTGCAATCTAAACATTGCTATTTTTTACCAAAATAATTCATCTGCGCCGATTGCGATAGTTCATCTGCACCGATATATACACACTTCGCAATATGGCATTTTAGAGGTATTGGGCATTGAAAAAATAAACTTTGTAATAATTCCTACACCAACCAAGATGGTCAACATTTTTGAAATTTCACTGTTTGGTGACTTTTTACAATAACTTTCATGTACTTGGCTGAAAAAGAAATCTCTTTTTATACAAATAATATGGAAAAAATGTGATAATTTGGCGCTTTTCCAACAAAGTTCCATAGGATCCAATAGTAAAATTTGACGATGGCCCCATAAAAAATCAGGACGGTAAACATTCGATTTTTAAATCTTAAAACAATAAATATAATAGTAAAAGTTAATTCAAGAAAATTTATCAAAATTTCTAGGGTAGAAATAATTCGACTCGGCTTCGTTAATTAGGAAGAGTTTTCAGATTGGGACGGGGGAAACTATACTAAAGTACATAAATGTACCTTGACACACAAAGAAGGGGACAGAATTTAATTAGCGAGAGGGGCTTCATTTTTTTTTTTTTTTTTTTTTTTTTTTTTTTTTTTTTTTTGAAATTGAGTAGGAGCGTGTTTGTTTTTTTAAGGAGTGGGAAATGTAGTTTATTTGACTTTATAGATTTATTTATCCCATTGGTACATGTATAAAACTTCTTGTACATGTATCTTGATTACTAGACATTTAAATCCACTTGTGAGATTATTTTTGAAATGCTCGTTATTTTTAAGCTCCCCTACTTGTACTTCTATTGGTGCTATGCAAAATTGTTATTCTTATTCTCAATGATATAAAGCTAGTTACATTCAATGAGTAAAGTGTGGCGATTCCGGATATCGAACCCATTAACCTCTGCATTGTGGAACCCTCCAGACACTAAGTTACTGAGAACGATGTTGAGTGTATTAAAAAACCTTTTCTTTCCTTGCCGTACTAGTGTATAAGGGTGCGGAAATTGTAAAATACTCCTATTGCATTTTTTCTCGTTTTTATTGCGTGGACCCTGCGGAAAATATATATAAACGAGGTTAAACCGGATTAGATTGGAGAAACTACATGTAATCGTGCGCATGCCCGAAATGCTAGACAAATCGCTCCTTAGATAACTCGCCCTTTGGACAATTCACCCTAGCCCCCGATAGGAAGTTGCTAATCCTTAGGACAACTCGAAACCTTGACAAAGACACGACGCCTAAGCTTTTTTAATATATTCGATCAGTGCATATTATCTATTCAAGATATATTACTAAAGTCAGGTACTCTTCACACAATTGCTCCGAAGAAAGTAGTTCCATTCATGAACAGTAGATACAACATTACAACAAATGTTAAGAATAATGATGTATATTAAATACGTTAAAGAAAACAAAATTAACGTAAAAGATTTTAAGAAAATCACTTTTCCCCAGAAAAGGAAATAAAAAGTTTTCATATTCCTACGCTCGCTGCCTCCTCAGTCTTTTTCACGAAAATATATAGGTCATCCTTCGATTGATAGTGATAAATCTTTTCACCAATTATATAACTGTCATGATTATTATTCGTTAATTGCCGTATATTTTCTTTTGAGTGAGAATATTAATCATTAACTGTGTGTGTGTACATGTGTGTGTGTGTTTTCTCTTTTTTTAAATAACGGAATGGTTATTATGTGGTTAAACACCTGCAATCGTAACTTCTCGGCAAAGCAACAACGTGATTTGCCGAGCTCGTCTGAAAGGATCTTCGCACGTGTGTAAACCTAGTCTATTTGGTCTTGCAAGCACAGGTATGTGCACCGTTCGCTAGTGACGCTTAGATCATGTAGACTGGGTATCAGTATTTGCTACGGACATGAAGAAGTTTAGAACTATACACCAGTTTCATAACAAGTGCAGGTTTTTTACTCAAGCCCTAGACTGGGCTAGAGGGGCTGGGTTACCTAAAACGATCTACTCAGTTTAAAAACACGAAAATATACTATTTTTGTAAATAAAAACATTTCTAGAAACAAAAATGAAGTTTATCTTTTAAACGTCTCTATATTCAAAATTTATAGAAAGTGTTAAATGTCGGATTTTATTCTATGACGAAGGAGTGATGCTCCACAGCCGCAACCGATCTCGCGCTTTCCTTTGCGTTTAACAACGGCCGTCAATGCATCTCTAGACAAGTTCATTGATTACTCTTGTTGACCCATCTTTAACATCTCCTATACTTTGAGTGATAGTACTTTAATAGCACAAAATTAAAAAATAAATGAAAATCTATCCTTGATAGATCTATAGTTTTGCTATTTAAAAAATTGGGCTATCTTTGATCTTTGCTTGGACTTGTTTCGAATTTTTACAGAAGATTCTATAATTGGAAAGTTAGATGGTATATATACACATGTAGCACAGGCCCATAGTACGCGGGATTTTTTCGGAGCCCCCCCCCCCCCTTCACTTTGAAAACGTTGCTACAGGCCTGTAACATGCTATTTGGATTAAATATTCCTGAAAATGAGTGAGCTGTTAAATACATCTTTAAAATTATACGGTTAATTATATTTAGTCTATGTTCTATGTGAAATTAAAACTATTTCTATAAGCATCTGCAACGTTGTGATAATAAAAGTCACTAATCGCATGTAACGTTATATACATGTATGTACATGCAGTTTCCTTAGTACATGCATATTTTATTCAACAAAAGATGTTGAAACTTAGTAGTCTAAATATTATGTCATTTTAGGTTATTTATGGCCATTTTATAGTTGACTTTCTACAGCTTGAGTATCTCTGACGTTTTATCAGTAAATAGTTTTTTTTTAATTAGAAATCATCTGAGCACAATGAAAATTCGAATAAATTAATTTAAGTCGAATATCTTGGTTATGGGGTAACCCATATCTATTCTTGTTTATAATCAATTTGAGCGTGAATAGTATGTCTTTCAATCTAATTGATAGCAACAATTCTGCATATCATTTTAAGCTTATCCAATTGTTGAACCCAATATAGTGTACACGATCGTATATGGTTAATGAACATTTTTATTATGCCCCCGGATCGAAAGATCCCGGGGGTATATTGTTTTTGTCCTGTTTGTCTGTTTATCTGTTTGTACGTTTGTCCGTTTGTCTGTTTGTCTGTCTGTCTGTTGTCAACTTTAACCTTGCCAATAACTTTCGATTTTGATATTTCACATGTGTATTCCTTGTGACAAGACCTTTCTTTGGGTACCATCATATTTGACCTTTTGACCTTGACCTTGGAGTTTGACCCACTTTTGCAAAATTTTATGAGGCTTTAACCTTGGCCATAACTTCTGAACAGTTGTTGCTTGGGGTTTCAAACTTCACATGTGTATTCTTTGTGACAAGGCCTTCCTTTGAATACCAACAACTTTGACCTTTTGACCTACTTTTGAAAAACTTTAACCTTGGCCATAACTTCTGAACAGTTGGTGCTTAGGGTTTCAAACTTCACATGTGTATTCCTTGTGACAAGACCTTCCTCTGGATATCAACCACTTTGACCCTTTGACCTTGAACTAGGAGTTTGACCTACTTTTGAAAAACTTTAACCTTGGCTATAACTTTTGAATGGTTGATGCTAAGGCTTTCATACTTCACATAGGTAATCCTTGTGACAAGACCTTCCCTTCGATACCAACCACTTTGACCCTTTGACCTTGACCTAGGAGTTTGACCTACTTTTGAAAAACTTTAACCTTGGCCATAACTTTTGAATGGTTGGTGCTAGGGCTTTCATACTTCACATATGTAATCCTTGTGACAAGATCTTCCTTTAGATACCAACCACTTTGACCTTGACCTTGACGTTTGACTTTTATTTAAAAAACTTTAACCTTTGCCATAACTTTTGAACAGTTGTATCTAGGTCTTTAAAATTTCACAGGTGTATTCCTCGAGACAAGATCTTTCTTTGGGTATCAACATTTTTTATCTTTTGGCCTGGATTTTGACTTGCATTTGAGAAACTTTAACCTTCGCCATAAGCTGCCATACGGGGGCATCAGTGTTTCACAAACACATCTTGTTTCTTCTCTTTGTTACCGTGTTTATTATCATAAGAGATGAGTACGACTGTTTATTAAAGGAAATCTTAATTTTATACAAAAATTGCTATTTGTATCAGGGGAAGGGGGAGTGGTCCTAGATCATAAGAGGATGGGGATCGTTATTAATCACTTGGTCAACAATAGATGTCGATAAATTATTATGAAATACTTACATGCTTCAAGATGAAAAAAATATGCGTAATGTTTTCATTACAACCTATCATTTTCTTTTTAGGTCACCTGAGTCACTCAGGTGACCTATTTCTATCTGTTTTCGTCCGTCGTCGTGCGTCGTC